ATTAATATTATATTAATACAATATATATTATTAATATTTTTAAGGTAAAAAAGTCTGAGAAAAATGAATATTTTTAGGGAAATTTTATAATATTTTTAGACATCGTTCGTGTAAAATTTAATTCTTTAGGGAAATTTTGGATAATTTTTGCACATTTTTCGTGTCAGTCAATTGTTTAGGGAAATTCTGAAGTTTTGGACTTTTTCCATATTAAAATAAATAGTTTAAGAAAATTTTGGATTTTTTTTTTGGACAAATTTCCAGTTAAAATAAATAATTTAGAGAAATTTTAAACAATTTTTGTATTTTTTCATGTTAAAAAGAATTACTTAGGGAAATTTTTTAAAACGTTTTCGTGTTAAAATCAATGAACTCGGAGATATTTTAAACTAATTTTGGACACAGCATCATAAATTTTTAATTGTCAAAACGTCTAAAATTCGCAAGAAAAATCAAAATTTCTATCAATTTTAAGATATTAAAAGATATTTGTTTCTTACAAAGAACTGGATTTCTGACAAATATTTAATACAAATTCCAGTAATAAGACATTTCTTCTATTTATTTTCTTAGCCTCAAGACACTTTCACCCAGTGAACTAGCGGTTCCTAGATTACAACTCCTTGTTTCTCTCCAGCAAAACATACGAATATTTTTTTTCCCCTACGTTCTCAATGACACAAACGACAATAAAGAAGAAATCCTTCAAGATTTTACGATCCAACATTACAAAACGGTAATTTTCTAGCGTATAATGTCCTATTAATAAGCCATAAAAAGTCTTTTCTCTTATCCTTTATGCTTTCTTTTAACTGTGGTTTATTACTGTAACATTAGCCTATCTACAGACTTGATTTTCCTTTCTCTTTCTATATTCTTTTCCCCTCATTTTTTAAAATAGAATTTCGACAAATTTCTATAATTTATACGACATGTATATGGTTAATTGTTAAAAAATGCGTATAAAAATTTTTCCAGTAACTTTTTATCTGTAAAATGGGGAATATCCCTAATACGTAAATTGGGGAAATTTTCTTTAAGCAGATTCTTAATTTTTAGTAAAAATTTTCATTAAAAGTTGTATGTAAAAAGATTCTTTTATCGCTAAGTTGAGAAAAGTTTTATATTATTTTCCAGAATATAAGGAAATTTTTAGAGATTTTTCAGGTTAATTCATCGTTTGATACTTGTTAGGGAATTTTAAGAGGTATAGTTTCTATGTTGTTAAATAACATTTTTAAATTTAATTAAAACGTAATAGAGAAAATACTTTAAATTAGGAAGATTTAGAACAATCTTAGGTATTTTTTTTTTTTAATTTTAGTTTAATTTTGTTAATATTTTTCGAAAGAAACGTCAACATTTCCTGTATATAAAGATGATTTTAATCTGTAATGTTTCTAAAATAAAATAAACAAACTAATTTAGGAAATTTTAAAATATTTTTAGATATTTTTCGATTAAATTTTCAACTTTTTAAGACGTTTTAAATAATAATAAATAAAAAGTTCACATAATTAATGAAATTATTGCAAAATTTTATATTTAATTAAATATTTTAAATTAAAGAAATCTGGAAACGTTGGAGGAGTTTTGAAGTAAAAATTTCCCAAAACACCTTAAAATTGCTCTAAATTTAAGAATACAATTTTATCGAAAAATCCCTAAAAACCCTAAAATTCTTTCAAACGTAAGAAGTAAAATTTCATTAACAATTCTTTTAAAATTCTTTAAAATTTCAATATTTAAATTGTTTTTCGTGTATTAAAATAAATTAAGTTTTCAAGTAATTACAAACATTAATAAATAATTATCAACAGAAAAATAATTTTAATTAATTAATTTTTAAGACTAAAAGGGAGGAAGTTATAAATTTAATATATTAAAAAAGAACTAAACTATTTTCAGTTAAGGATATAATTTATAAATGAAATATTTTGCTGCTACATTTTTTTTTATGAAGAGAGGATATTAAATTAATATAGAAAAATGTTTCTCCCCAAA